CGCCTATAACGCATTATCAAGGAATTGTAGGTAAGAAATGACCGCATATGACATAATAAACTCGAAATAATTCGACGCGAAAAGGGCTCATATTTATGGTAGATCACAATCCACGCCGGATAATGTGAACAAAGAGAGAGCAACTTTGCATCATATTCATTCCTTCGTTTATCATTATGCGAAGAATGCCATAGTGTGTCGCTTGGATTGCGCGAAATCAGTGAACATTTGTTTTTAGCTTTTTTGATAAATAACACGAGTGGGATTTCAAAAAGTCCGATATTTATGCATTAGGTAATATTTATAAATATTTTAAATTGTATCTTTCAAAGAAGTCGTTTCTGGAATGTAAAGATTCGTTTCAGTTGCTCTTCACACACTGTTACTTGGATTGCGGCTGCGTATTTGACATCACAGTTTGATTTTTTAACTCCGCTGTCAGACTATAAACATTTAATAAATTACTCACAAAATATTTTCATTTGAAATGCTACGCAACATTGTATTTCTTTTTGGTTAAAATGCATCAATAATTCACTCTATCATTGTGGTCTCTCGGCAGTAAATAAAGTCCGTGTACCTTAAACATAGCTTTGCTCTAAGTTTATCTGCTTCTCACACAGCCGTTTAATTTAAGCGCATTTATGTATTTTAAAAAACGAAACAAGCCCAAACTTGTGTTGCATCGCCATCACCCAGAGGCATGTTAAATACGTGACCTATCTCATGAAATCTGATAACGGAAACGAATGAGAGAATTTCTGGACGCCTTTAACGTTGAACATTCTGTTCGCTTATCCATTTCCTTCAATAAAATGTTCTTTTCTTGTGCAGAAATTGTGTTTTTGTAATTATCATAAGTAAAGTTCTCAACAGACAGGTCATTTAGAATCTGTCTTTATGGGCGTTCGAGTGAAAACACTGAAAATCAGGAAGTATTCCGCGATATTTTGAGGCCGATCTAAAACTCAACGTTATCCAAAACGAACCAGAAAAGTAGTTTAATTTAACGAAAGAAAATTTCTATCTCTAAACAAAAAATGGTATGTCTACTATTACGCCTGTCAGTTTTATTTAAATTTATTAGACCCCGACCGGCCTCATGGTATGTTACCTTATGAAAACTATTGTTCCTACGACCTCCCAATCGGTGAAATCAAGCAAAATCCAGCTTCTCCTGTTGAACCCCATTTTATTTACTTAAGAGAAATAAAATAAAACGGGAAGCACTGGACAACTGTTTTGGAATCTACAGTCAGAATGTAGGCAGTTGAAAAACCGTCATATATGAAATCACACTACTTATTAAACGATATTTGGATGTTAACTTCACCCAAGCAATGTTATTAGAAGTAATTGTGTACCTACATTCATATTTACTAAGTTTTTGGTATGAGAATATACTCTATACATCTGAAAACGAAATCTACCAAATTAAAGCCATTTCTGACATTTTCGGTTTATTGCGCTCTTTAAAATAAATCGGCATTTCCAAACAAAGCAACGCTGCCTTTAATAATACTTTTATGTTTTTAATTCTTTTAAACGTGTTCCTAATTAAAATAGACATTAGACTTATGAAATGGTGTCGGTTTGCGAGTGCTTGGCTTTCATTCGTAAATTTCGACACATTACATGAGGTAGGTCACCAGCTCTAATATTTCGGCCCTCATCAGCAGTTTCTGGAGGATTTAACGAGGTTTACGCGCGACCGTGATTTATGCGACCTTATATGCCGATTATTTCACCCTGCCATCATGTGTCTGGTTTTAGCCTAACCCAAAAATACAGGCCGAATGCTTCTTAATTAGGCCAGATTGCTGTAGTTTAGAAAACATGTAGAACCAGAAAGCGTACGTCACCAGATGAAATTGGTTTACCAACTTTCGTATTCTGCGTCGAGTATTCCCGTCTGGAAGTCAAGCAGGCGAGCTCTCCTGCAGGACAGCCAATCAAAATTTACTTGTTTTTTTTCTCTCCCGAGAGACGAACATTTCTACATCCCCGCTTGCGTCACGACCTTGGTTGCACTCTGAGAGTTACTCTTTTTCCTGTACTCCCTCACATGAACAGGACAACTGACGGGCTATTTAAATGATAACTTATTTTGCTAGAAAGGTACAGTTATTAATTCCGGACGCCACTTTCGAAGTAGAGTTAACAGTACGCGCACATCAAAGAGTGGACGGGGAGTGACATTCACCTCGGATTTTAAAATCCAATTTTCTTTAACCGGTATCTCATTTTGACTGAGAACTGGTCATACTGCAGCCAGCATTCTAATAGTACACTCAATGTGACTATTCTTCTGAAGGGTTTTTTTTCTTTCGGAAAAAACTGCTTCGCCTTAGGGGTTCCAGACAAAGGGGCAGACTGGAGCAAAAAAGTTGTGTTCACTCGCGCAGAGGCCTTAAACTCTGCTGCGTGTATTACACCGAAGATGACTGCAATTGTATCATAACACTGCGATTATTTGCAAGTTAAGTCAGCGCAGCTGCAATAGGTGGGCTAAGTCATGAAATATCAACCAAAATTCCGAACTGCGTTTTCGTTTCCAAAAGTGTTATTAAGTAGGGTTGTAAGACTAGTCAGCCTTCAACGTAATTCTATAATATTTCAGTTACACCAGGATGCCGACTTTCGAATGAACTTCCTTCCAGCTGCATGCAAAAACTACACTCTGTAAAAATGAAAGCTTAAGTAGCAGGAATTTCATCACTGATTTTCGATGCCCTTTAAAGTCCAATCATGTTTAACAGAAAGCATGCATTAAAATATTTATTCTTCCGCTCATGTAGTAGAAAACTACGTTATCTTCAAATTTTATTCTCGAAGGAGAGACATTAGTTGGTTTTTAAAAATTTTCTTATTGTAGGACTTTAAATACCGTAAAATGGCCATTAATAAATTTCCATGTCTCTGCATTTACCAATGTGGCTCGTAAAGTAAACAGCATTGGTCAAATCAACTGCTTAATTTTATGAACCCAATATGGACCCGTTTTATTACCGTAAAGAAATGTGTGGCTTTCCGTACGCGGAACCCCTGAATGCATGGTAACGGTAGAGCGGTTTCTAAACTACTCGGGAATTGGAAGCGTTTTTGGAAACCGAATTATGCCCGTTTTCGAGTAAAAAGTGAAAAGTGTAATCTTCTACCGAATGAGCAAAGAAATGAATATTTTTATGCCTGATTTCAATGAAATGTAATCAGAAATTAAGGGACATCGGAAATCAATCAGCGCAGCTACCTCGCCTACACGTAAGACGATAGTTCAATCGTCCTGCAGAAACTGTTTACCACATGATCCAAAGCAAGGTGAGAGTATAGTAGATCGGCTAACTCATGACATGTCAACCGAGATTCCGAAATACGTTTTGGTTTGGAAAGATTAATTAAGTAGGAATGTAAAACTAATCCATGTGCAAAAGAATTCCATGATAAACCAATAATCTTGCAATATAATTCTATAATAATTCAATTACCTCGGGTTTCCGGCTTTTGAACGAACTTCTTTTCAACTGCATGCAAAAACTATACTTTGTAAAAAAGTGACTACCTACGTAGTATGCATTTTTCTCATTGGTTTTCGATATCCTTAAAAATTCAATTACATTTCGTGCACGCCATGCATAAAAATATTAATTTCTTTTCTCATTCGCTAGAAAATTACGTGTTCTTCCATTTATATGCTCAAATAAACGATTGTATTAAGTTTTCAAAAACGCTTCTAATTTCTAAATAATTTTGAACAGAGAACTGCCGTTACAATTTCATTCAGGGTTCCCAATCTACAAGCCATATATTTTCCGCGTAAGGAAACTCATACATTTCTCTACGGTATTAAGAGGAGACTGTATGGGGGTCAAAACATTTAGCAGTGGATTTGAGCCATAAGTCACGTTACAAGTCACATTGCTAAATGCAGACACAGACTGTCTTGTAAAAGGGCATTTCACGGTACTAGAAAATCACATAGTAAGAAACTTTTTAAAAACCGAAATATGACTCCTCTTCGAGTAGAAGGTTTACAGAATACGCTATTTTCTACCAACTGAGCAAGAGAATGAATATTTTTATTTATGTCCTCAATGAAATAAAAATGAATTTTTAAGGGAATCGAAAACCGATGAGAAAATGCATGCTAATAAAGTAATCATTTTTTGCAGAGAAACGTTTTTGTATGCAGGTGGGAAGAAGTTCCTTCGAAAGCCGGCATCCCGAGATAGCTGAATCATTAAAGAAGTATTCTGCATGATGATTAGTTTTTACAACTCCTCTTAATTAATCCTTTCCAAACGAATACGCATTCCGGAATCTCGATTAACTGTAGAGGCGGCCATTTGCACAACATCTGTCGTGCTCTATCCTCCTCCGATCCGCAGCCGGTGTCAAGACGGAGTCAAGAAGACCGGAGGCGGGAGAAACTGCAGGTGACTGGCACGGTACACTGACCAAGATTGTATGCCGCAACATAAATTGGGGAGTGATATAAATCCCAATTGGCGCGGCGTGAACCGGCAACTGGGTGTGTTCTCACACTCTAATGCAGACATTTTTACGGGTGCGCATCCCCGATAATATGTGCCTCTGTGTTAGTCCAGCCCATTTTCCGCGTGGCCCGTTTTTGTGGAACACACACGACCATATGTCGAGGACAAAGTCGGACAATGTTCTACTAGCGACTTCCGAGGTCTATTCTCTGCACTCCTATTCCTGGTCCGCAAGTTTCTGTAGGTTACGGTGACAAGAGTCTCACAGAGCAGATATATGGGAGGCTTAATATTCAATTTACTGTAGAGAAGTATGACGGCCAGTCTAGCGCCAAGCCGACAGAAGTCGCACGGCATCCTGCATTCCCGACAGCTCGGTGGGCGCTACTCCGAAAATGAAACTTGGAATATTCCCGATCATTACAGACAGATCGGGTGAGCCCTTATCCTCAGAATGGTAAAAGACTAGATGACTTCAGTTACGGACGGCTGGTCAAGGGTTTAAGAATGTGTGGTGATGATGATGATGATGATGAAGATGATGATGATGATGATGATGATGATGATGATGATGATGATGATGATGATGATGATGATGATGATGATGATGATGATGATGATGATGATGATGATGATGATGATGATGATGATGATAAGCGAGGAAGAAGCGGACACTCCGGCCTACCTCCTTGTTGCCTATCGTTCCCGGTTATGAACGAAACTACGTCGCAAAACAGTGTCGCACATGTTCCCTTCCGAACACTGTTCCCATGAGAGTTTGTGTCACTTGAGACAATTTCTGATGTTACTAGTTTAGACTGACCGTTCCGTTCAGGTCGAAGGTAAAACTTTAAGTTTCCAAGGAGACACACATACGACGATGACGAAGAGTGTTCGACGGTTCACGAACGATTATTTTCACCGTGTACCGCAGAGCATGATGCGCCAGAGACAGCGGTACGCACTCGTCTACCGTTTGTGTGTGCTCACAGCAGGGCGAAGGCATGGATGGTGACTTGCGCGTGAATTCGTTTTGTGACAATGCCAGACTTGCGCCGCATCTACTGCACTGACTCCCTCCCTGCCCCACCTGGGTCCGGTGTCATGGCAGGGTCAAGAAGACTGGAGTCAGGAGAGGACGCCCCCAGCCATACCACCATCCCTCTGTTCCTGATACACTCGAGAAAAAACGGGTGCGTTAACTGGGGTCCGGACTGGCGCAGCGCGGACTTGCATCAGGGCGTGCAATCGCCCAATGCGTCCAGATGGGCTTCCTAAAGGTAGCTTAGAACTGTCATCAAGAAACAATTAACGTAAGCTAAGAGAGACTGGAACAACAATACCGTTTCTGTTTATTCTAAACCAGTTTTGTGGGGAACGTGGCGATAAGAGGAGAATCATGCTGATGACTGCAACGATCGGTAAGACGTGGTTATGTGGCCCCATCTGATGGACACAATACTGTTGGGGTTGGTGCTAGAGGTTAGAATTATGGGTCGGACAAATATTTCTCAACCACTCAAAGTAAAACCGCGCATTCCCAATAGGATTTCTTTGGCATACATCTACTTGACATCGTCGCCTGTGAATTTTCCGGATAAAGACGGTCAATGTTCTACTAGTGACTTTCGAGGTCTCTTTCCATCTTTCCGGTGAACAATTAGAATCCCAACGGTTTATTGATTAAGTCGTTGGGATGCAATCACTGGTCGCATCAGATTGACGATAGCCTATTCCTGGTCCGCAAAGTTGCTGTAGGCTCCATTACCAATGGTCTCACAGAGCAGATATATGGGAGGCTTAATATTCAATTTACTGTAGAGAAGTATGACGGCCAGCCTAGCGCCAAGCCGACGGAAGTCACACGGCATCCTGCATTCCCGACAGCTAGATAAGCGCCCCTCCGAAAATGAAACTTGAAATATTCCCGATCATTACAGACAGATCGGGTGAGCCCTTATCCTCAGAATGGTAAAAGACTAGATGACTTCAGTTACGGACGGCCGGCCAAGGGTTTGGGAATGACTGCTGATGATAAGCGAGGAAGAAGCGGACACTCCGGCCCACCTCCTTGTTGCCTATCGCTCCCGGTTATGAACGAAACTACGTCGCAAAACAGTGTCGCACATATCCCCTTCCGAACACTGTTCCCATGAGAGTTTGAGTCACTTGAGACTGATTCTGATAGTAATAGTTTAGACTGACCGTTCAATCTAGGTAAGTTTTCAAGGTGAAACAGATACGACCACGACAACGACGACGAAGACAGTTCGAAGGATCAGGAACGATTATTTGCACCGTGTGCTGCAGAGCATGATACGCCAGGGACAGCCGAATACGCTCGAATTTATCATGACAGCAGAGCTGTGCAACGTCTGTCGCACTCTGTCCTCCTTTTACCTTCTGGGCGCGGTGTCCGGACAGAGTCAGAAAGACCGCAGGCGGAATCGGGTGCGGTGACTGACAAGGCTAAACAGCACGTCTGCGCGTGCCACACACACACGTGCCTTTTCCACGCGCGATGGGCCGAGTTTACACACAAACGAAGGAGGGGGAGGGGCTTGGGTCTCAACTGAGTGGGAGTGTCATATAAGGCCATTGTAGGAAGGGGCTACTGCAGTCTGACTCTTGTCCAGAGAGGAGGATCGAGGTGTCCCGTCAGTTGAGCGCCTTCAGAGCCACGACTTTTAGTGCACCGTGTTAGCTGAAAGGCGCGTCAGGTTGTGGTGGGGAATATGCTCTGGGAGTCGACTCCCCTCTTCTAGTCACCAGTCCGCTGTCCGGGCTGGTCAGTCATTCGATGCGGGGTTCGCGTGTGCATCTGGCTGACAGCTGAATAGCCTGTTTGTGCATGCCACGGACGACCTGTCACCCCGACCACAACACGCCAGAATTCCACATAAAACGGCTCGGATCTCACGAGTGGCCCGGACGGCATCAGTGAGATTCAAACCCGCTCTAACCACCTGTGCTGCGCAGTTCCGGCCAGGAGCCGCGAGTTTAATCACGCGTGGGCCAAGTTACCCACTGAGCCTACTGCAACTTATGGAATTCACCAATTCTGATAAAAAACGGTGACTGCCTATGCAGGATTTCCAAAGCAATAAGTCTACAATCCACAATCCACTTAATAGGTATTTTTTGGCTGATTTGAATAATTCATTTGACCTAATTGCCAGTTGGTTGCTTTGTAAGACATTTGCATTCATAAAATGGGACCACGGGGTAGGTAAATATAACTAAAACGGTTCCCAAAATTAGGGGAATGACGTTGTCTCGTTTGAGCCGGAAAGCTGCCAGTTGCTATTAGGAAATGCATGGGCGAGATGGCTATTTTAATCTTCTCCCCGACTGAGTTTTGGGCAAAAGGACGCGGGCATTCGCAGACAAAATGCCCGAGAAATGCAACTCGTTGAGGTCTTTTATTTGATCGAGAGCGAATTCATAGTTGACCTTCATAATGGCAGTTCATATTATTCGGTGATTAGGTTTGCTGTTTGGTCGAGCCTACAAATATGATACAAACCGTAGCCGCAGAAAAAAACAGTCTGAAAACTCACTTAAAAGTTTAAAAATACCGTAGGTCATCTTATTTTAAAATTCATACTAATAATAAACTACAAAAAGCATAATTCGGGCAGTCGACTGAGGGCTCTATTAACCGCATGGTACTTATCGAATTTTCAAGGACACCATGACAGTCAATATGATCTGCCGCCATCGGAAAGCTCAGCAATTTTATAGAAGAAATATTCCCTTGAAAAACAAAGTAACAAACCTATGATGAAATTAGAAAGTTATACTCAGTTTTTCGGCAATCAAGCAGCCTCTCTTGATCTGTAGTCTTATGCGAACTTTTAATCTTTTGATGGACCCCCTCAGGAAAACAACAATAAGTCTGACTAAATTCGTGCGCGTCATTTGAGGAAAAAATCACAATTTATCTAAAATCTGCCTAGTTAAAATTTAGCATATAAATCGGGTGCAGTGACTGACACGCCGGCCACACACGTGCCTAGTCTACACACGATGGTCCGAGTTTACACAGAAACAAGGGAGGGGGAGGCTTTGGTCCCAGCTGAATAGGAGTGTCATAGAAGTCATTGTAGGAAGGAGCCACTGCAGTCTGACTCTGGTCCAGAGAGGAGGATCGAGGTAGCCTGTCAGTTGGCAGCCTTAAGTGCACCGTGTTCACTGAAAAGCGCCTCAGGTTGTTTGTAGTGAGGATCATGCGCTAAGACTATCAACCTCACTCTCTCTATCTCTCTCGGCCCTTTTCCAGTCACCAGTCAGCTGTCCAAACTGGTCAGTCATTCGATGCGGGGTTCGCGTGCGCAAGTGGCTGACAGCTGAATGGCCCGTTTGTGCATGCCACATACGACCTGCCCCCCATCTCGGGCAAAACACGCCAGGATTTAATATAAAGCGGGTAAGCGGATCGGATCTCACGTGTATGAGGGTGCCCCAACAAGAGAAACGCAAGGGTGCATCGATAGGATTCGAACCCGCTCTAACCACCTGTGCTAAGCAATTCCGGCCAAGAGCAGCGAGTGTAATCACGTGTGGGCCAGTTTACCCGCCAAGCCTACTGCAACGTATGGAATTCACCAATTCTGGTAAAGGACCCTGACTGTCTACGCGCGATTTCCTAAGCAATGAGTTTGCAATCCACAAGATGACTATAAGACCCACTTAGAAGCATTTTTGGCTGATTTAAGTAATCCGTTTGACCCACCGACCAGTTGGCTGTTTCGAAGGACATTTATATTCATAAAATGGGACCTCGAGATGGCAAACATAACTAAAACGGCCCCAAAATTAAGGGAAGTAGGTGCTCCCGTTTGCGCCGGAAGGCTGCTAGCTGCCATTAGGACATACATAGACGAGATTTGTATTTTATTTTAAATTACCGACTGCGTTTTGTAAAAAAAGACGTGGGCATTTGCTGACAACAATCCAAGAAATGCAACCTTCTAAAATCTGTTGGTGCTTTATGCGGTCAAGAGCAGATTCATAGAAGATCTTCGAGGTGACAGCCCGTGTCATTTGGCGAATTATTTTCATTTTTGGGCAAGCCCACCAGTGTGATACAAACCGTGGCCGCAAAAAAAACGAACCTTGGACTCACTTTTAATAAAATCGTAAGTTGGTTTATTTAAAAAGTCTCCAAACCAAAAACTATGGGATTGGACGCAGGTGGTTGGCGCGGTGTGAGCCTGCAGCCTGACGCGCTACCACAGCATCCTCCCATGTGTGCCAGCTGTTATGGAATCCGCGGACTCTTTTCAGCCTGGTTAACGCGTGCTGTACCCTATTCTGACCTCTGCCTTACTCCAGCGCATATCCTATGTGACTAGTGATGAGAACGTGCACACACAAATTGCTCCGCCATGCACGTTTCAAACAAAATTTTCAATTAGCCTCGCTCTTCGTTGACCATAAAACCAATGAACGACCCGGCTGTGTTGTCTCCTCAGGGAATAGACGATCACTTCGATGCATTATTCTCTTACTAGCCCATTCCCTGAACCACTTTGATTGACTTCTTCAAGTCCCAAACATACTATGGCAGGTCACCTGCAAATGGTGGCGTCATCTAGACAATATAAATCAGCCGCAAGACCACTGGTGCACTAATAACTGCAGATAGGAAGAGGTAGGTCTTCTGAAAACACTAGAATTATCTCATCCTTTTTCTCTTTCATTAGATAACATCTTATTTCCAACGCAGATCAAAAGGATTGGGCCCTAATCATCACCATGTCCTGCTCTTG